CTCACTGCTTCCTTCACACTCCAAACTTCACACTTCACACTTCACACTGCACTCTTCACGCCCCACATTTCACACTACACTCTTCACACTCCACAGTTCATCTCATCTGAGCTCTTCTCACCTTATCCCAGCTCATCTCTTCTCATTTCGTCCCTTCTCATATGTAATCTATTAAGCTTTCATTAATCAATTCCCAGCACTACTACTAATCACTGTCGAACCCTTGATGCACCTACTCCAATACGATTTACGAAGTCCAGTTGCAAAAGACAATGGTATTGCGCATGCAGCCGCGGCACCAAGCAACCTTGACGCAGCCATTACAATGCGATCTGCAGAGACTGAGTTGCAAAACACAATAGAACTACGCACAACGGCGTCGGAAATTGTAGCTCCAAAACCGGATCTCGACGCCAGAGCGAAAAAAGACGATTTTGAAGCACTTTTTAAAAGAATTTTTAAAAAGAAAATCACTGGCGCCAAAATGGAGAAAATCTGCTGACAAATCAATGTCGCAGCCTTCATGCAGCCACTCCAATACGATTTACGAAGTCCAGCTGCAAAAGACAATAGTATTACGCATGCAGCCGAGGCAAGAAGCAACCTTGACGCAGCCATTACAATGCGATCTGCAGAGACTGAGTTGCAAAACACAATAGAACTACCCGCAACGGCGTCGCAAATTGCAGCTCCAAAACCGGATCTCGACGCCAGAGCGAAAAAAAGACGATTTTGAAACACTTTTTAAAAGGATTTTTAGAAAGAAAATCACTAGCGCCAAAATGGAGAAAATCTACTGACAAATCAGTGTCGCAGCCTTCATGCAGCCACTCCAATACGATTTAAAAAGTCCAGCTGCAAAAGACAACAGTATTACCAATGCAGCCACAGCACGAAGCAACCTTGACGCAGCCATTACAATGCGATCTGCAGAGACTGAGTTGCGAAACACAATAGAACTACGCACAACGGCGTCGGAAATTGTAGCTCCAAAACCGGATCTCGACGCCAGAGCGAAAAAAAGACGATTTTGAAACACTTTTTAAAAGCATTTTTGAAAGAAAATCGCTAGCGCCGGCGCCAAAATGGAGAAAATCTACTGACAAATCAGTGTCGCAGCCTTCATGCAGCCACTCCAATACGATTTAAAAAGTCCAGCTGCAAAAGACAATAGTAATACCAATGCAGCCACAGCACGAAGCAACCTTGACACAGCCATTTACATTGCGGGAACGATCCTACAGTTGCAAAGCACAATGGAATTCCATCGGCAAATCCTCCACCAGCACCACTTGCAATCCCATTTACATTGCGGGAAGGATCCTACAGTTGCAAATCACAATGGAATTCCATCGGCAACCCATCCAGCAGCACCACTTGCAATCCCATTTACATTGCGGGAACGATCCTACAGTTGCAAATCACAATGGAATTCTGTCGACCACACATGCACGAAAAACAGTTGACACCCCATTTACAATGCGGAACCGATCCGAGAATGATCCGAGGATGATCCGAACATATCCGAGCATGATCCGACCACACACGAGACCGTCTCGCACCCGTCGCACCGCAGAGGTAGATCATCGACGTTCGGGGACGCACTTTGTCTGGAAAAACACAGGGTTTCGTGCATCTTCTATCTCTCAAAAACACATTTCGTGCGAGACTTCCTTCAAAACTCCATCGGCAACTCCTCCACCAGCACCACATGCAATCCCATTTACAGTGAGGGAACGATCCTAGAGTTGCAAATCACAATGGAATTCCATCGGCAACTCATCCACCAGCACCACTTGCAACCCCATTTACATTGCGGGAACGATCCTACAGTTGCAAATCACAATGGAATTCTGTCGACCACACATGCACGAAAAACAATTGAAACCCCATTTACAATGCGGAACCGATCCGAGCATGATCCGAGACCGATCCGAACATGATCCGAACATGATCCGACCACACACGAGACCGTCTCGCACCCGTCGCACAGCAGAGGTAGATCATCGAAGTTCGTGGACACACTTTGTATGGAAAAACATAGGGTTTCGTGCATCTGCTATCTCTCAAAAACGCATTTCGTGCGAGACGTCCTTCAAAACTCCATCGGCAACTCATCCGGCAGCACCACTTGCAATGCCATTTGCATTGCGGGAACGATCCTACAGTTGCAAATCACAATGGAATTCCATCTGCAACTCATCCACCAGCACCACTTATCACCACTTGCAATCCCATTTACATTGCGGGAACGATCCTACAGTTGCAAATCACAATGGAATTCTGTCGACCACACATGCACGAAAAACAGTTGAAACCCCATTTGCAATGCGGAACCGATCCGAACATGATCCGACCATGATCCGAGACCGATCCGAACATGATCCGACCACACACGAGACCGTCTCGCACCCGTCGCACAGCAGAGGTAGATCATCGAGGTTCGTGGACACACTTTGTATGGAAAAACATAGGGTTTCGTGCATCTGCTATCTCTCAAAAACGCATTTCGTGCGAGACTTTCTGCAAAACTCCATCGGCAACTCCTCCACCAGCACCACTTGCAATCCCATTTACAGTGAGGGAACGATCCTAGAGTTGCAAATCACAATGGAATTCCATCGGCAACTCATCCACCAGCACCACTTGCAATCCCATTTGCATTGCGGGAACGATCCTACAGTTGCAAATCACAATGGAATTCTGTCGACCACAAATGCACGAAACACAGGTGACACCCCATTTACAATGCGGAACCGATCCGAGAATGATCCGAGAATGATCCGAGAATATCCGACCATGATCCGACCACACACGAGACCGTCTCGCACCCGTCGCACCGCAGAGGTAGATCATCGAGGTTCGTGGACACACTTTGTATGGAAAAACATAGGCTTTCGTGCATCTGCTATCTCTCAAAAACGCATTTCGTGCGAGACTTCCTTCACAACTCCATCGGCAACTCATCCACCAGCACCACTTGCAATCCCATTTACAGTGAGGGAACGATCCTAGAGTTGCAAATCACAATGGAATTCCATCGGCAACTCATCCACCAGCACCACTTGCACCCCCATTTACAATGCGGGAACGATCCTACAGTTGCAAATCACAATGGAATTCTGTCGACCACACATGCACGAAAAACAGTTGAAACCCCATTTACACTGCGGAACCGATCCGACCATGATCCGAGAATATCCGAGAATGATCCGACCACACACGAGACCGTCTCGCACCCGTCGCACCGCAGAGGTAGATCATCGACGTTCGGGGACGGACTTTGTGTGGAAAAACATAGGCTTTCGTGCATTTGCTATCTCTCAAAAACGCATTTCGTGCGAGACTTCCTCCAAAACTCCATCGGCAACTCCTCCACCAGCACCACTTGCAATGCCATTTACATTCAGGGAACAATTTCTTTGCTAACTCTTTCTGTGACTAACTCTTTCCCTCACTAACTCTTTCTTTGACTAACTCTTTCCCTGACTAACTGTTTCTTTGACTGACTCTTTCTTTGACTAACTCTTTCTTTGCGAACTCTTTCTTTGACTACCTCATATATCCTGACTAACTCTTTCTTTGACTACCTCATATATCCTGACTAACTCTTTCTTTGACTAACTCTTTCCCTCACTAACTCTTTCTTTGACTAACTCTTTCCCTGACTAACTCTTTCTTTGACTAACTCTTTCTTTGACTAACTCTTTCCCTGACGAACTCTTTCTTTGCTAACTCTTTCTTTGACTAACTCTTTCCCTGACTATCTCTTTCTTTGACTAACTCTTTCCCTGACTAACTCTTTCTTTGACTAACTCTTTCCCTGACTAACTGTTTCTTTGACTAACTCTTTCTTTGACTAACTCTTTCCCTCACTAACTCTTTCTTTGACTAACTCTTTCCCTGACTAACTGTTTCTTTGACTAACTCTTTCTTTGACTAACTCTTTCTTTGACTAACTCTTTCCCTGACTAACTCTTTCTTTGACTAACGCTTTCTTTGACTAACTCTTTCCCTGACTAACTGTTTCTTTGACTAACTCTTTCTTTGACGAACTCTTTCCCTGACAAACTCTTTCTTTGCTAACTCTTTCTTTGACTAACTCTTTCCCTCACTAACTCTTTCTTTGACTAACTCTTTCCCTGACTAACTGGTTCCCTCACTAAACTGTTCTTGCTAACTTTTTCTGTGACTCACGTCTTTTCCCTCACTAACCCTCTTTCTTTGACTAACCTTTCCCTGACTAACTGTTTCTTGCTAACTCTTCTTTGACTAACTCCCCCCTTTTTTTTTCTTTGACTAACTCTTTCCCTGACGAACTCTTTCTTTGCTAACTCTTTCTGTGACTAACTCTTTCCCTCACTAACTCTTTCGTTGACTAACTCTTTCCCTGACTAACTGTTTCTTTGCTAACTCTTTCTTTGACTACCTCATATATCCTGACTAACTCTTTCTTTGACTAACTCTTTCCCTCACTAACTCTTTCTTTGACTAACTCTTTCCCTGACTAACTCTTTCTTTGACTAACTCTTTCCCTCACTAACTCTTTCTTTGACTAACTCTTTCTTTGACTAACTCTTTCCGTCACTAACTCTTTCTTTGACTAACTCTTTCCCTGACCAACTGTTTCTTTGACTAACTCTTTCTTTGACTAACTCTTTCCCTCACAAACTGTTTCTTTGACTAACTCTTTCCCTCACTATCTCTTTCTTTGACTAACTCTTTCCCTGACTAACTCTTTCTTTGACTAACTCTTTCTTTGACTAACTCTTTCCCTCACTAACTCTTTCTTTGACTAACTCTTTCCCTCACTAACTCTTTCTTTGACTAACTCTTTCTTTGACTAACTCTTTCCCTCACTAACTGTTTCTTTGACTAACTCTTTCCCTGACATTCTAAAAGTCCGTAACACGGAAGTTTCTCCCCCTAAACTTCCTTTGACAACATATATCAAACATATTTTAACTGTCCCCATGCATTTCTGATTTCCGCGAGTTTCATCGATCCAGTTTGCTGCCTTTCGTGGCCATGGTGACCATGAACGATGAATACCTCACCGCGCGGATGGGAAAGATGTACATGGTGCCCAGCAATGAGGTGCTATAGCACAGTGTTTTTGAAAATGAAAATTTTGAGGTATATACCATGGTATACCCATTCGGGGTTAAACGACTATGTTAAACTGATAGATAAGTGTGCCGAGGGTTGCACAATTGATGCTGCCCATGGCTCTTGTTTGCTTCCATCTTGAGTGATAGGGAATTGTACCTTTGTACCTGATGTGAGCAGCCATCATTGAAGCCCAGACATACTGGAACATCTTTGGTTTATATACATGGGCCACATGGGTATGTCTGAAAATTGGGAATATTCCTGAGAATGGCAACTTTATAGGGAAATCAATGATGATAAACCATCAAATGTACGAAGATATATTTTCAGACAAACCCACATTTATGCCGACTTTTTTTCCCACTCATTGCCATCTTTGGAGCATCCATTTTCGGGCCAACCTAGACCGCACATCTAGCTACTACAACTCACGCGTCCAGTGTGAAATTCATGATGCTGGAAATGTTCATTCTCCATGTCTCATCTCTCATGTTTTTTAGCAATGGATTGAATGTCCAGTAATGTTGGTTCCTGATTAGTGTGTGGCCCCCCCCCTCCCCCCCCCTCCCCTAAACTATATCTGGACTCTCTTTAAAGTAGAAAAGCAAAAAACATCTTCCCAAAAGAAAAACATATCCTCGATTAAGTAAGGATTTCAATTGGCTACAATTGAAATCTAATTACTATTGTTTTTGTTTGCCGATGAAGTTGTGGTATTTGTAGTACTTGTAGTACTTGTAGTACTTGTAGTACTTGTAGTACTTGTAGTACATGTAGTACTTGTAGTACTTGTAGTACTCGTAGTACTCGTAGTACTTGTAGTACTTGTAGTACTTGTAGTACATGTAGTACTTGTAGTACTTGTAGTACTTGTAGTACTTGTAGTACTTGTAGTACTCGTAGTACTTGTAGTACTTGTAGTACTTGTAGTACTTGTAGTACTTGTAGTACTTGTAGTACATGTAGTACTTGTAGTACTTGTAGTACTTGCAGTACTTGTAGTACTTGTAGTACTTGTAGTACTTGTAGTACATGTAGTACTTGTAGTACTTGTAGTACTTGTAGTACTTGTAGTACTTGTAGTAATTGTAGTACTTGTAGTACTTGTAGTACTTGTAGTACTTGTAGTACTTGTGGAAAAGCTGTTCTTTAATAAGGGTTTAATATCCTTTGGGAAAGGCTTGGAGTTTGAATTTGGCAATTTTGGAACAGGCTTGCTTC